GCTGGGCGCTCGGCGTGATGGCCGCCCAGGCCGGTCGCCGCGGCCGGCTGCACGCGGTGCCCTCGCAGGGGCTGTGGCTGCTGGGCCTGCGCGACGGCAAGGTCCTGGAGGCCCACGTGGAGGCCAAGGAGCCGCAGGCGCTGAGCTGGACCGAGAGGCGGCCCACGCGCATTGGCCTGTACCTGAGCTTCGGCGACGGCCTCCTAGCCTTCTACGACGCCAGCGACGCCGACGAGCTCGCCCTGCTCTTCGCCTTCCGCGAGCGCCTGCCCGGGCCCGTGTACCCCTTCTTCGACGTGTGCTGGCACGACAAGGGCAAGAACGCCCAGCCGCTGCTGCTGGTCGGGCCGGACGGCGGCACGAAGGCCTGAGCCCCAGGCCTCGGGTGGGCAGGGGTGGAGGCTCGGGCCTGCGGGCAGACCTGGGGGGCGGTCGTCTGTACCCAGGCATCCAGGGATGAGGGGAGGGGTCTCCAGGAGTTCTGAGAAGAGCGTGTTGGGGTGGGGGGGACCTGAGTGAAGAGGGGCCGGGTGGGGGTGGGGATGGGACACTGTGAACAGCGCCCAGTGGGGAAGGGATCGTGAAGGCAGGTCCCAAATCTGAGTTTGGGGACATTGGGGTTCAGGGATGGGTTTGAGGGATTGTGGGAGGAGATTGAGCTTTAGGGAGGGGAAAGGGGTCCTGTTTGTGGAAGCGAGAGGGAAGAATCATAGGCCCCCACCTCCAGAATTGGGGTACCAGATGCCCAGACTCCACCATACCCAAAGGCCTTGGGCTTCCCAAAGTGGGTGGTACTGCCCCCCTGGGGGGCACTGGAAGGATGCGGGGGCAGGGGTGTGTGTGTGTGCAGAAGCAGATGCCTACACTTTATCCTGGAGGATGGGATCTAGCACAAAAGTTCTCAGTTGCCAGCAGGGTACACGGAGTCTTTTTTTTGCCCCCTGAGAAGGGGGCAGGAGGCCAATACGTTTGGGAATCCATGGCACAGACAAGGGGCAGGGAGCCTTTCAGACATTTCATCAACTCAGCCCTCATGCAATGGCTCAAGCGGCCTCTCGTTCCTAAGCCAGCTGGTCTTGATTTTGAAGGCCTTGTTTGGCCGCCCTTCGGGCTGCACTGGTTTAGACAGCAGCTCTCCAACTGGAGTGGGTGTCTGAGTCCCCCGCGAAAGCACAAATGGCCAGGGCAAGGCCCTACAAGTGTCAGAGGACGCTGAGACGTCACCCAAGGCGGAGACCTTGGCCCCAGGGTCGCCCCTCGGAGACTCCCTGACGCCGACTGTTCAGTCAGTAGTCAGTGTAGCTTGGGACACAGAAACTCCAAAATTGATTTCTCTGCTCAATGGGCCTTTCACATCTGCCGGACTCTCTGCGGAATGCTACAGAGAAGAATTAGACAGG